AGAATTTTGTTCTACATCCTTCTCCAGCTCTGTTCAGAACCTTCTGTTGTGATCCTGGTCAGAGCAGTCAGTGGTGGTAGCCGGGCACCATCTAGCTGTGCTGGACTCAGTCTGGTGGAGGCCTTGGTAGCTGTGGTCCGTTAGTCCTTTGAACTAATCTTTTTCTTGTATCCTGTTCTCTTCATTCTCCCTCGCAAAGCTGATGTTTTTTGTATATTTTGTGGGCAATTACTTTCATATCTTACGTCAACACTTAAATGCCAGTTATCACTTTATTGAGTCAGCTCCAAATTCATGTTTTTTGCCTGCTCCGTGAAAATGGATCTGAGCCTTGAAGCAGTCTCCCTTTGCCTATTCTCGCTGAAGACTTGTCAGTAGAGGGCGCTGGAGAGACATTGCATGAGAAAGGACTTTTCCTTTCTAGTTTTTAGATGCTTGTTCACTGGGCTCTTGCTGCACAGCTTTTCTAGTGTCTGGCTTCTGCAGTGCACAGTGGCCAGCAGCACAATGGTCAGCAATTTCCCCCAGCACTCCTTACTACCTGCCTTTCGGTGGTTTTCTAGCAAAGTGCCTCTGGTGAGACAACTCCCACTCAATAAGCGTTCCCTAGCAGCCTACAGGGTGGATTTTCAACAAGTTCCACTGGGATGGTATTATAGCATTTTCTCTGCCACTCAGTGAGCCATGGTCATACTTATTTGCCATTCGTATATCTTCTTTGATGAAGGATCTGTTCAGTTTTTTTGCTCATTTTTTAAAAAAAACTTGTTTTTTTTTTACTATTGGGTTATAACACTCCTTATATATTTTGGCCCTTTATCATTTATCTAGCCATCTATCTCTTTTACAAATATTTTCTCCCTGTATGTGGATTGTCTTTTCATATTCTTAACAGTATCCTTTGTAGAAAAAAAGGTTTTATGTTAATGAAGTTCAATTTATCACTTTTTTCTTTTATACTTCATGTTTTTTATGCCCTAAGAAATCTTTGTTTAACACAGTGATTCTTAGCTGGAGACATTAGGCAATGTCTGGAGGTATTTTTTATTGTTACAACTTGGGGTTGCAACTGTCATCTAGTGGGTACAGGCCAGGGGTACAGCTAAATATCCTATAATGCACAGAACAGCACCCCCACCCCCAACAAAAATTTCTCCTATGTTTTTCTCTAGAAGGTTTAGGGTTTTAACTCTCACATTTAGATCTATGGTCAACTTTGCTTCTTGTATATGGTGTAAGGTAAGGGCAAGCTTCATTTTTTGGCACGTAAGTATCCAATTAATACCATTTGCTGGAAAGACCATCCTTTTTTGAGTGTTACAATTTGAGGATGCTACTGGTATCTAGTGGGTAGAGACCAGGGGTACAACTAAACGTCCTCTAATACACAGAACAGCACAGTCCCCCTCACCGCCCCCCCCCCCACCTTGACACCGTCATTGGAAGTTGACCATATATGTGAGGATCTATTTCTGGGTCCTCTATTCTATTCCATTGATCTTTATATGTACCTTTATGCCAATATGACCCTTTCTTGATAAGTGTAGCTTTATAATAATTGCTAAATTAGGTAATGCAAGCTCTCCAGTTTGGTTCTCTTGTTTTCAAAAATTGCATTGGCAATTCTAAATCCTTTCCATTTCCATATAAATTGTAGAATCTGCTTACTCATTCTGGTATTTTGATTGGGATTGCATTGAATCTATAGATCAGTTTGGACACTGGAGAGGCTATCTTACCCTGATGCTAAACACAGGAATAATAGAGTGTTAATCGACAAACCTCATCTGATTCTGGGCTCATTAAACAACCAGATAGGTAGTTTTGTCTATTTGGACAGAATGCAGTGACTAGAGGATGTGAGTGGTCTTCTTTGAAGACAGTTTTCTCTGTAAAATAATAAGCCAGCACTCTGGTTGTAGCATCATTTTTTGTGAGTTTGATTAATATGAGTCTACCCAGAGCAATAGCGTCTTACCAAGATACTGACAAATCAGGTTCTGAGTATGCAAGAATGAAAACAAATCCGGGTTGTGGTGATTTCACCACTTTAATGCTGCCTTGGGGCAAGCAGGCCTGTTCAGGTATATCCCTCTGCCTCCTGGCAAGCTACCTTTGAAGAATGCAGATAGCTAGCATTCATCGAGGATATTCTAAGCACAATTCATTTGTGCCTGTGCAGTGACTCCAGAGTCCCTGCTTTAATCACCATCCTATGATGCCTTTAACAGGTCATTAAAAAAGTAGAATTGACTGTTGGCAAACCCTGCCACTTTTAATACAGGGAGAGGCTTGAGGTGTTCTGAATTCAGTCAGTACACTTACATTTTTATAAGGCTTTGTAGTCTTCAAGTATGATTCATTTAATTCTATCTCTTCTTGCTGTGCCCTACCAAAATTCATCATTTATGATAATGTATGGAAAAATGTTCCTCCTTTTTCCTGAACTCCTGTTGGGCAGGGCTAAGTGAGTTTTGAAAAAAGGAGGTGGAAGAGAGAGTCACTGTTTTCAATGTGGGCGGATGCTAGTGCCACCATCCCAGAACTGGCTTAGAGACAGGCCATGCACCCTCTCCTTGGCTTAGCAAAGAGAAGGAAGCTACTATTTCTTGACGGCATTATGTGTTGTTCCTAAAATTTAGTGCCTCTGTAAATGTCTTTCCATTTTGTTGATTCAAATGGAGGACAGGAGAAGGAAAGGTATGGTGTTGGCACCTGTGTACAGAGAATCTTGCCGGCTGATAGTGAGGATGTCTGAGAATTACAACTAGGGAAATTAGTGCCTCAGTCTGAGGGGTAGATGGAAGATAGTAGCTGAGCTGTTGATAGAGACTACCAGTGCTGGGCAGGATATCTGTGCTTGGTACTGTGTGTTCACAGGTCCATTTGTTCATTCATTCATGTAAATGAAAGTAAGCATGGCATCACGCTGGGAACTGTGGACCAATGCAAGGATGAGTGAGAGATGGTCCTCGCCCTAAAAGGCTTGGTGTCTAAGAGGGAAAAATATAACATTTATGTCAAAACCCATAGGATTGTACAACACAAAGCGTGAAACCTAATACAAACTATGAACTTTAGTTAATATAGTAATATATCAATAACCAATGTATCACAGGAATGCAAAATGGTAATATGAGAAATAATGTGTGTGTGTGGGTTCTGTGGAAACTGTACTTTCTGCATAATTTTTATATAAACCTAAAACTGCTCTAAAAGTAAAGTCTATGAAGAAAAAATAGGTCCCTGGGTGGTGCAAATAGTTTGCACTTGAGTTCTGACCTGAAGATTGGTGGTTCAAACCAACCCAGCGGTGCCATAGAAGAAAGGCCTGGTGATCTTTCGTAAAGATTACAGCCAAAGAAAACCTATGGAGCAGTTTGACTCTGTAACACATGGGTTGCTGTGAGTCAGAATGGACTTGATGGCAACAGGTATAATAAAAGGAAAGATCATTCACGTATCCAGCACTTAGTAGTTTCTGGTAATGCTTTATACAATTCCAGTGTCTGCTGAAATCATTTGTACTGTAAGGGTAGAATAAGTAAAGCTTGAGTGTGAATGTAGACATGGAAGGAAGGGTTTTACAGGTGAAGAGAACAGCAAGGGCAAAGATACAGTGGGAGGAAAACATTGTAGACAAACATGAAATGACTGGCTGCAGTGCAGAAAGCCACAAGGCAAGTAGTGAGAAATAATGTTTTGAAAAAGTAGGTTGGGAGGCACTGAAACACCTACTGATCAATTTAGTTTATTTGAGATTGTATGTATACTTTTAACTCACATCCAAATAATGCAGATTGATCTATGCAGAATTTCCCTTACATAGGGCAGATTCAGTTACTCTGGTAATGAGATGGGGGATGGTAAGGGTGAGTGGAAGGATACTGCAGGTAGAAGAAATGGAGAACCAAGAAAATTGGTTGATCAAAACTGTCTTTGCTTTTCAAAAGCAAGCATATACACAGGCAGGATATTTGGTGGTGCAACAGCTAAGTGCTCGGCTGCTAACTGAAAGGTCCAAAGTTCGGAGGTTCAAAACCACCCAGCGGCTCTGAGGGAGAGAGACCTGGCTGCCTCTTGATGATTACAGCCTTGGAAACGCTATGGGACAGTTCTACTCTGTCACATGGGGTTGCTATGATTTGGAATAAACTCGATCGCTCACAACAACACAATTTAATATTTTCCATTAATCAGAAAACTCTTAATTTATAATTTACCAAAGCCATAAAAACAAAGTCCTCCCTCCCCCCAAAAAAACCACACACACGCACACACGCCACACAGCCCAAATCCCACTCTAAAACATAAGTTACTCCACAGACCAATAACGTCACCATGACGTGGGGGCTGATTAGAAATGCAGCTTCTCAGATTCCAGCCCAGACTGACTGAATGAATCAGAATCTGCATTTTAGCAAGATCGCCAGGTGACTGCATGCACATTACAGTTTGAGAAGCCCTGTTCTAACAAACAGTACTTTAAAGCTAGTATTTTGCTGAAAGAAATATCTAGCAGGTGACGCGGTTCCACGAGCGTTTCACCAGATGGCAATGCAGATGGCAGTGGCCATGTCGCTTTTTCCTCTGGCGTCCCATTGTTCAGACAAGTAAGAAGCTCCGGGCTTCTCCAGGAGACCCGGGCTCGGCGCCAGCGGGGGTGGATGGTCCCGGCGCCCATTAGCTCTGCCGGGCGGGGGGGCGGGGCTGTATTTCAGCCACTCTCCAGGCCGCAGACGCACGTCAAGTCCCAGCCTCAGAATGTGGCGCTTCCCTTTTGCGTGCTGTCTGCACACTGCAAAGAGGAGCAAGTTCTCAGCTCCTTGGAGCAGGCCTGCTGCCTTCATGTCCAGTCTGATGATCAATCAGCCCCAGTATGCTTGGCTGAAAGAGCTGGGGCTCCGTGAGGAAAACGAGGGCGTGTATAATGGAAGCTGGGGAGGCCGAGGAGAGGTAGGCTGACGTCCAGGGAAATCTCTGCGGCTTGTGAGTTTCCCCGGAGAGGCCTGCCCAACACTAGTTACGCTGTAGGCGGTTCTTCTCGGTGGAGTTTTCTAAGCTCCACAGTAAATGTCTTTTGTAGAGATCTTTAACAAAAGAAACAGCTTTTAGGTGCTGCGTGCAATGGAGAATCGATGTCTTTTGGGGGCTGATAGGGACTAAACTTCCACGCGCGTTTTAAACTTGAAAAGCAGAGTCCCGGATCATTAGTAGTGAGAAACTTTACACACTTAGTCGTGGAAATGATCTTAATTTTGAGCTTTACTGTGGCTCTTCAGATGTGAAGTGTGCTGCAGATAACGTTCCAAAGTGTAGTTTTCTGTTGTCTCCTTTCCTGAAATCCTTTGGGGTTTGCAAGCTCGGACTTGCTGCAGTCTGTTCATATGTTCATTGGGCTGTGAGCTTCCTTGCAGACAGTTTTTAGCATTTTTTTTTCCTTAAATGTCCAGAGCCTAACACCCTGGAACTACGAAATAAAATATTTATAGAATATAATGGACAGGTTGGGTTATTGTCACCCAGATTTTGTTAGAGAACCACATGCAACAGAAAGCGTTTATGAAAAAATGTTATGTAACGTTCAACAAAGCTTGTTGAATGTGAGATAATAAACCTGCTTTGTTTGGGGAAACAAATTATCTTTTAGGTTATGGGTCGTGGTAGGAGACAGGTGATTTTAATTATTTCCCAATCCCCAGTGCAGTTCGCAGTTCATCTTGTTTTTCCCGTGGTATCTAATCATTAGGTTCTTAAAACTATCCTGAAGGCGTTTGTAGCTATGACTTGATTATCCCTTTTAGTTGTCAGTTTGTTGGTACACCAGCCTTTCCATAGTTGCCAGGCCTGGGCTATTTCACCTTCTGATCAGAGAGTGGGCAGAGAAAGGGAAAGAAGGAATAAGTAAAACTGTCAGTTTGGCTTGTTGTTAATGGAAAAGAGGAGGAAAGAGCTGGTTAGTTACATTGAGGTTCTTGTTTATATACTTAATACTTAGATTAAAGCAGGAGCCCTGGTGGCGCAGTGGTTAAGAGCTCGGCTGCTAACCAAAAGGTTGGCAGTTTGAATCTACCAGCCACTCCTTGGAAATCCTATGGGGTGGTTCTACTCTGTCTTATAGGGTCGCTGTGAGTTGGAATCGACTCTACGGCAACAGGTTTTTAGATGAAAGCAGTTCAGAATGTTTAGGTCAAAAAGAAAAGATACAACCTCTGAGGAGTGGCTTATTTGTAACAGAAGTTTACCTAAAAGTTTCGAGTTTGGATATGTATCTCAGTTTTTTTTTTCCCCTTGCTTTTCTTCTCCCTATTTGGTTGTTTCCCCCAATTTGGAGGGGATTACGGATTCTATACATGATAGTCATCTTCTTATTTTAAGGTGGTTACGAGCTGTTGTCCTGCTAACAATGAGCCAATAGCAAGAGTCCGACAGGTAAGTGGTTTTTTGTTCCGTTTTGTTTTTAGTTAATTCAAACTGCCCACAGAGTTTGTGGGAGCTTTCTTTGGAGGCAGAGGCCGATATTATTTAGATGGATTGAGAGCAATACAAAATTACAAGGCAAAGACAATTTTAGAATGGGAGAGACATCTTTGGATGGGTGGGTGTGTGCCTTAGAAAAGGTGGTCGATAGAGGGGATAGATCCTTTTAAGGCGGTGCCTCACAAGCTTTAATGTACAGATGAGTCACCTGAGGATTTGGTGAGCATGAAGATTCTGATTCCATAGATCTGGGCTGGGGCCCGAAATTCTGCATTTCTGATACACTATCTGGTGTTGCTTCCAGATAAGGATAATGGACCATGCTTTGAGAAGCAGGCTTTAAAGCACAGCTGGATTCCAACCTGTCTTACTGGTTCTAGTGAGTTTTTGGAAGCATGAGCTGTGGAAAGCATTCCAAACCAGAAATCTTAGGAACACCCAGAGACTATCCCATTTTTCTTCCAAAAAATATCTGTGTTCTAAGAGATCATCACTTCTCTTTTCTTTTATCTTTGTCTTCATCTAATTCTTAGGCCAGTGTAGCAGACTATGAAGAAACTGTAAAGAAAGCAAGAGAAGCATGGAAAATATGGGCAGATGTAAGTATGTCTTTGTTGTCTATTATGGAAGAAGTCAGGGCAAGATTACCTGTTGTAATGAGATCAGTAAACATCCCATAAGCCGTTTAATGTCTCTTTCCTGGCTGAAATATAAACGTGAGCTCCTTGGGGGCTGTGATGCTTAGCTTTCCTTTGCTATATTTTTAGGTTAGTGCCTTTTTTATATTTGGCACTCAGTAAATGGGTAATTTAAAATGGATTAAAACTCCATACTGATGTAGCATAAACTCAAGCTGTGAACACATTATTTGCCACTAAGTTACTTCAATTTACCATTGAGCACATAGAAAGAGAAAGAAACATCTATGCTAAAAATACTATTTGCTCCTTCTCCTCCCCCCCTGCCAGATGTATCTGGGGAGGGGGTTCTCGGCACTAAGTCAACATTCTTGGTCTAAAGAGCAGCAGCAGCACCTCTTTCGCAGGGCAAGGAGCTCACCTTCCTTAACTGTCTGGTCAGCCTTTGAGGCACTTTCTTCCTCCTTGGGCACCAGGGGTTAAATGAGCAAATGTAAGAAGTGACTGGCGCAGGCCTGGGCCACAATGACCTGTTAAGTGGTGAGGGCAGAGGTACCCTGTCGGACTGCCGGGAGGCCCAGGTGGGAGACTCTTAAGGGAAGAAAAAAGGACCTGAGGGATAACCAGATTTCTCCTTATCACCCCATATCCCTTTTGGTCTGCTGTCAGAGGCTTTAGGCCTGGGGCTGTAAGAATAAACCCCATGATTAATGGGTAATCCAGGAGGCTGAATAATGGCCCCCAAAGTAATCCAGATGCTAACGAATCCCTAGTACCAGTGAATGTTACTTTATAGCGAAAAGGTGCTTTGCAGGTAATGATTAAGTTAGGAACTTGAGATGTGGAGGTTGTCTTGTATCATCCTGGTGGGTCCTATATACAATCACAAGTGTCCTTGTCAGGGGGAGGCAGAGGGAGATTTGACACAGAAGAAGGTGGCAGCGTGACCAGTGAAGCAAGATGCTACGCTGCTGGCTTTGAAGATGGAGGCAGGGCCCAAGAGCCAAGAAATGCAGCTTTAGAAGCTAGAAAATGCAAGGATAAGATTCTCCCTGAGAGAGGAGAGAGGGAGGGACAACTTGCGGGCAACTTGACTTTAGCCCAGTGAAACTGATCTTTGACTTCTCGCCCCCAGAGCTGTAAGAGAACAGATGTGTGTTGTTTTAAGCTACCAAGTTTGTGGCAGTTCGCTTTAGCAGCAACAGGACATCACCTCTGTGGGCTTTGTTTTTTTCACTTGTACCGGGAGACCAGGAGTGCCTATGCCAGGGATTATTAGGGTTATCGGGAGGGTTAAATGAATTAATCATTTGAAGTGCTTTCAGGAGAAAACACATGGCAAACCTCAAATACACGTGAGTTATAAAACCATGTGCCGCTGCTCGTTTTGGGACTGCTGAGCCGCGTTATTTTCTTTGAGTCAATGATGTTTTTACAGAACAAATTAGTTTTTCGTATTGTTTTGTGACATTGGTTGCCAACCACACGCTGTGTCAACACTCTCCCCTTCTCGACCTTGGGTTCCGTTCACTTTAGCTACTCTGCCTTCAAGAGCAAGTTTCAGTCTCTTCTGACATCCATTTTGGTCTTTTCTTTCTTTCCTGTCTTTTTAATGACCTCTTGCTTTCTTCATGTATGTGTCATTGATGTCATTCCACAACTGCCTGGTCTTTGGTCTTAGTGTTCAATGTGTCAGACCTTTTCTTGCGATGGTCTCTAAATTCAGGTGGGATATACTCAAGATTGCCCTTTGGCTGTCTAATTTTCTTCAGCTTCCACTTGAACTTGTGTATGAGCAGTTGACGGTCTGTTCTGCAGTCGTCCCCTGACCTTGTTCTGACTGATGATATTGAGCTTTTCCGTCGTTTCTTTCCAGAGATGTAGTCGGTTTGATTCCTACGTATGCCATCTGGTGAGGTCCACGTGTATAGTCACTGTTCATGTTGTTGCAAAAAGGTGTTTGCAATGAGAAATCACTGGTCTTGCAAAATTCTATCATATGATTTATGGCATTGTTTCTATCACCAAGGCCATATTCCCCAACTACTAATCCTTCTTGTTTTTTTCCAACTTTTGCATTCCAATCACCAGTAATTACATACATATTTACAGAAAGTAAAAAAAAAAAAAAAAAATAAGGAAAAACATTAAAGATTTGCCACTGAGGCTGAGTAAGATTCTCACTCCTTACCACAGATAACAGGATCTCCCCTCCAGACTCATCTCAAGCTTCTAACTTCAGGCATGCTGGCCTACCTAATCAGCCCCTCAAATACCACAAACTTTTACTTTCCATGGATCCCTTTTACATCCTTTTTCTTTTGCCTGGGAAGAACATTCCTATGGCAGACTTCCCATTCATCAGGTATGAGCTTAAATCTTACCTCCTGAGAGATTTTCCCTGACAACCCTTTAGGTAAAGTAACTTATTTTACCTACCCTCCAAGACTGCTGTCTTTTGGTCTCAGTGTCCTGTTTATTTCTTTCATTTTTGTAGCCCTTATAACAATCTGTAATTATTTGTTTGCTTCCATTTTTTCTCTTTGTGGGTACTTCTCACTATTAGCTCCATGAAGGCCAAGACTATGCCTAGCTTCTTATTCTAGCATTAGGAACCCCTGGGTGGCGCAAACAGTTAACAAATTTGGCTGTTAACCTCCAAGTTCACCCAGAGGCACCTCAGAAGAAAGGCATGGTGATCTACTTCCGAAAAATCAGCCATTAAAAACCCTATGGAGCACAATCCTACTCTGACACGCATGGGGTAGCCATGAGTCAGAACCGACCTGATGGCAACTGGTTGGTTGCCGAGTATTACTCCTATCACACAATAGGTGCTCACATATTTGGTGAGTAAGTGGTATGATTTTAATTGGTTATAAAATACCGGTTTATAAGTAAGCTGCATCAAGGATTTGGTCTTGCAAACATTTTGGCTCCTAAGATAACATCACTGGGAACCTTAGAGGCCCAGAAGTATTTTAAGATAGTGAGCTTTCTGAAGTCATTCCAAAAGTTGTGTTTAATCTTTGAATTTCTCTCTGTACTTGGCACAATTTCTTGCTCATTATGAGCCTGTCATCTGGGTACTTTCTGGGTTTCTGGTATTGGTTTTGGGCCCTGCCACATCGCAGACTCTTGATGTGATCAAAAAAGTCTTTTTTCATGTGATGGTACTTTGTTTTCTTATAGCACAACTTATCTAACACTGTATTGTAGACACCAGTTTACACTTTGAATCAGACAATAAAATTCCATTCTTTTCTTAGATTCCTGCTCCAAAGCGAGGAGAAGTAGTAAGACAGATTGGTGATGCCTTGCGGGAGAAGATCCAAATGCTAGGAAAGCTGGTAAAGTATTTTCATAGTAAATACATAATCCTTTGATTGGTGAATAAGGATGTTGTGCATTTCTGTATATAACTGTGATTTTTAAGAACAGCAATTTATAAATTTCAGAAATCCTTTCTCTAAAGGAAAGATTAGCCAGGTAGACAGGAAAAAGTGCAGGCAACTTTTGGATTTTTAAATTCTTCAGAAAAATAAGAACAGACTTTCTGCAGTTTATTGCCTTCACAAAACAGATGTAAAATATTTTGCTTTTTTTTTAAATTTAATATTTAAAACGTGAATTCTGTTTGCAAAAATACTGTTTGTCATTTTATATTTTTAGATGTCTTTGGAGATGGGGAAAATCTTAGTAGAAGGTGTGGGAGAAGTTCAAGAATATGTGGATATTTGTGATTATGCTGTTGGCTTATCGAGGATGATTGGGGGACCCATCTTGCCTTCTGAAAGTAAGTAACGAAGTCACTTAAGCTAAGAGGTTTGTACTCTAATACAAAGAGCTACAAAAAATTTCTAGCTATGAATAGTTTACAACAGAGAAGTAGCAAAGGGTTTATAAATATATGAAAATATGTTTAATCTCACTACTAACCAATGCAAATTAAAACAGGTAAAAACATCACATTAAGAAACTTCTTTTCTTTTTTTTTAAAAAGATGAAACTCAGTGCTGGCAAGTAAATGGTGGGAAGATAGTGTTTTACAGGTACTGTTGGCAGTGTGAGTTGGAACAACCCATATGGAAAACAATTTAGAAGTATACCCAAATAACCTTAAATTTAATTAATACCTTTGACACAGTAGTGCCACTTTCTAGAATCTAATAAGTAAACAGCTGAAATGTGACAAAGTTTTAGGTGTAAAAATGTTCATTGTGGTATCAATAGGAAATATTAGCAATGTTCTAAATGTCGCATGGTAAGGGAAAGGTTAAGCTAATTTTGGTAGACTATTAGCACGTCTTAAAAAAATCATGTTTATAAAGATTCTCTCCTTCCCAACCCCACACTTTTATGGAAAGTTTCTATTATTTTTATATTACTTTTTTGAAGAGTTGATGTATCACAAGTATTGCTATGAGTAGGAATCGACTTGATGGCAGTGGGTTTATAGGGCATCTGGAATCCCCACTGGTCTGGTACACTTTTGTCCTGAGAGTGAAAGATTTTAGAGTTTGTTCTTATTAGCTTGACTTTAAGTATATTTGACGTCTGCCCTCTTTCATAGGACCTGGCCATGTGCTCATTGAACAGTGGAATCCTGTAGGCCTGGTTGGAATCATCACTGCTTTCAACTTCCCTGTGGCGGTGTATGGCTGGAACAATGCCATTGCAATGATCTGTGGGAACGTCTGCCTTTGGTAAGACTTGCTCACTTATCTAGTAGTAAGAAAATGACAGAAGTGGCCATTTCTAGGTATACCAAAAGTATTTTAAATACATTGAAATGTTTTCTACTTACTAACCAGTGACTAGTTACCACTGAGTTGATTTCCACTAATGACGACCAAATGTGTGTCAGAGTAGAGCTGTGCTCCGTAGGGTTTTCAAGGTTGATTTTTCCGAAGTAGATCACCAGGCCTTTCTTTCGAGGTGCCTCTGGGTGGACCTGAACCTCCAGCCTTTCAGTTAGCAGCCAAGTGCATTAACCACTTGCAGCACACGGGGACTCCTTCTACTTACTATACTCTTTAAATTAATATATTAATTCAATCCTACTGGTTTTGGAATGCTGATTTTTTCTTTAAATTTTATTTTGGTAAAATATATTTATCAAAACATTTGCCATTTCAGTCATATTTACATGTATAATTTAGTGACATTAATTACATTCACCATGTTGTGCAGCCATCACCACTATTTGTTTCAAAGTTTTTTATCACCCTGAACAGAAATTCAGTACCCCCTAAACAATACCACTTTATTTTCCCCTCGACTGCCCCTGGTAAACCATTGATAATGTGACCCACTTGTGTAATGAACTTTAGTCTCTATGCATTGGCCTATTCTGAATATTTCAGATAAGTAAGATCATGCAATATTTGGCCTTCGGTTGCTGACTTATTTTACTCAGCATAATATTTTCAAGGTTCATCCACATTGTAGCACATATCAGAACTTCATTGCTTTTTATGGCTGAATAATATTCCATTGTATATACGTTGTATGTATATCACATTTTTCTTATTCATTCATCTGTTGATGGATTTTTCAAATTTATTTAGTAGTGTTTTATTATGTTTAAGGTGAACGTTTACATAGCAGATTAGTTCCTGTTTAACAATTTCTACACAAGTTATGCAGTGATATTGGTTCCATGTTTCTCAATGTGTCATTATTCTCATTCATTCTGTTCTGGCCGTACCATTTCCAGTACTCTTTACCTGCTTGCTTACCTTCTCATCTTTGCTTTAGAGTGCTTTTTGACCATTTGATCTCCTGTAGATGATTTTTTAAAGAAGCTTATTTCTCACTGGTGATACTCTTTATTTTATGAGCCAATCTGTCATTTAGCTAAAGGTGACCTCAAGGGATAATTTCGGTATAAGGATTAAAGACTATCTCAGGGCAATAGTCTTGGGGAGTCTGCTAGTCTCACCAGGTCCAGGAAGTCTGGACTTGTTAAGAATTTGAGTTCTGTTCCACATTTTTCTCCCATGCTATCCGGATCATCTGCTGTGGCCCTGAACAGAACAGTCTATAGTGGTAGCTGGTCATCTAGTGATTCTGGTCTCAGGGTAGATGAGGCTGTGGTTTGTGTAGACTGTAGTCCTGTAGACTACTTTCTTCTCTGAGTCTTTGGCTTTCTACTTTCTCTTTTGTTCCAGATGAGTAGAGACCAATAATTAACTTTAGATGGCCACTCCCAAGCATTTAAGACCCCAGATACTCTTACCACATTGGGATGTAGAACATATACTTTATGAACTATATTATGCCAATTAACTGAGTTGTCCCTTGAGACTATGGTCTTAAGCACTCAAACACAGAAAACCAATGCTGTGAGGTCTTTTGTTATGTCTAAGAAGTATCCATAACTGTGTCCCCTATGTGGTTTATTATATTTTTGGATATACATGCATGCACACCTCCATATATATATGGATTTACATACATGTACATATGCCTATAGATACTTCTATCTGTGCACACATATGTACTTATGTATTCATACTCATACATATATGCCTGTATACATATTTGTGTAAACACACACATATTTTTTGGTGGTTGTTAGTGTTGTTACAAAATTATATTTGTCATAACCTTTACCAAAAATACCCTTTTCTCTTATACACTTCTTAGTGACGACGTTTACCTTGGTTAAGCTGTGTGCACTTCACCCACATTGATGCTTCCTTTCTCATCACCAAAAATAACAAGCGTCTACTATCTCGAGAGTGCTTCCCTCTCTCCCCTCCCATTCATCCCTGGTAACCACCAATAAGTGTGTTGGTCTTTGTATATGTATCTATTTTTTTCTTCTTATAAAAGTACAGTCATACAAAATTTGTCCTTTTGTGATTGACTTATTTTACTCAGCTTAATGTCCTCCAGATTCATCCACGTTATAAGAGGTTCAGAGGATGTTGGATGATTTTTAATTTTTACATATTTTGCCATTGGTAATATGAGCCCTGATGGCGCAGTGGTTAAGAGCTATGGCTGTTAACCAAACAGTCAGCAGTTTGAATCCACCAGCCACTCCTTGGAAACCCTGTGGGACAGTTCTACTCTGTCCTGTAGGGTTGCTATGAGTCAGAGTCAACTCGACGGCAACGGGTTTCGGGTTTTTAATATGACTTATTTATTTTTTGACACTGTATTGTTCCCCTGCTCCTCCCCAAACAGAAAACTAAGGAGAGAAAAAAGAACTTCTGATAAGCTACAACCTTCTTTTTAAAGTTTGACCTTTTTTTTCTTCTTCAATGAAAATTTGGTAGCAATGAATCCCCAAGTGATTCTGAGGCACCTGGCCAATGTTTTCTTGGAGCTTTTAAATTTTGTGTCACTATAAACTATTCGTTAGTAAAAGTTAGCCGGGAACATGTCTGTATTTTATAGATGAAACAATAGTTACTTGTCTTTAATTTTCGTGTTCAGTGGAAGAACTTAGAAAAGGAAAACCAAGGTAGTTGTCTTTGGCCCCATTCACATCCATTCCACTAGTGTGTATTGATCTTACGTGTTGTATTCAATTGAATGTACTCTGAGACTGTCTACACAACAAAGCATTATTGGGAGGATTGAGGATTTGGCACCATGTTGCCAAAGGGTTCAGTGCTTTCCAGCCTTCTAATCAAAAAGACTAGTTGTATTGAAGCCCCTGGGTGGTTGAAATGGTTAATGCATTTGGCTGCTAATTGAAAGGTTGGAGGTTCCAGTCCACCCAGAGGCATCTTAGAAAAAAGGCTTGGTGATCTATTTCCAAAACAGCCATTGAAAACCCTATAGAGCACAGTTCTGCTCTGACACACATGGGGTTGCTAAGAGTTGCAATGACAATTGTTTTTTGTTTATAATTTTCCTCAGCTATTTCTCTGAGTCCTCTAAGGAAAGTTTGCTGAATGCACATGTTGATAGATTCTATTTCAATCAGTTATTATACTTAGTAGAGGTTAGTGTAACAGTTCCAGTGCAGCAAGAAGGTACAAAATTTCTTGATGCTGTTTTTGTGATCATCATAAAACTTTAATAATCTCTTAGGTCCCAGAGACACCAAACTGAAGGATAGATTACTATTTCAGTTACTAGGCTCAGTTTTGATTAGTTTAATTATACAGAGCTTTTTTTTCTCATAAAGATTTTTACTTCTGCTTCTTAATAAAAAATATTTATGTTTTCTACCAAATTAAATTGCTTTCTGTCTCTCTCTTTTTTTCCAATCCTCAAGGAAAGGAGCTCCAACAACTTCCCTCATTAGTGTAGCTGTCACAAAGTAAGTATGTGTGACTTTCTTTTTCCTGGGAAGGGTGTAATCTTGAAAGGATGATTGGTAGGCCCTGGATTTTTAATTCAATGTGGAAGTGTCATATTAATTTAAACAAGGAATTTGGATAACCTCTTTCTCCTTTGGTTTTAGTGACACATTTTTATATCGTTTTGCAGTTTACAAAGCTCTTCTAGAGCCATCTCATTTAATTTAATTCTTTGGAAACACGGCAGATATTGACATAACTGTTGAACGCTTATAGACTTTTTTTCTAGAAGATCCTTCTTACTCTGTCACTTGCAAAATAAAGGTATCTCCAGTGGAGGGTAAATATACTTGAAATTTTAGGGGCTATGTTTTATAACTGTTCACAAGTTAATGGTGTCGAGGATAGATTTCTACCCAGCCTAACAAATTTATTGCTTTTGTTTAATATATAGACTGTTGGAAAAACAGAAAGGCCTGGTTATTATTGTACTAATCCATTGATTCTTCTAACACTAATAAAAATAGATTGCATCTTGTAGTTAAAAAAATTGTTGTTATTTATTTTTGAGAATTCTTTAGCTCTGGTTAGGTCATAAAATCAGTGTTACAAATTTATCATTCTGGAACTTAGCCAGTATATAGAAGAAGGTGCCCTCCCATGTAGGGTTATGAGGCACCCTTGATGTTTCTGCTGGCTGTCTGATCTACGTTCTCTGTTTTGAGACTTGTTGGTAAAGAAATTGTGGTGGACTTTTTATATAAGAGAGTCCTCAATCTTAGAAGATCACCTTATGAACAAAGGTTTAAGAATTGAGAAATTGGCTAAGAGAGGGTAGTATATGGCAGGGTTTACTTAGAAGGACTATGTGATATTGAGAAACCTCCATGGCAGTAGTTTTCAAGTTAAACATTAAATAGAACTCTGATATACAAACCACATAAAAATGATGAAAGACTCCTCAGGCAATTAAAAAAATAAACCATTAAAAAAAAGAACAAAACAGTTCATGTGGGCATAGTGAACTGATTTGCTTCCTATCATTAAGCAGCTGGTTAAAATATTGTTAATTTGGGGGTATAAGTCTTAAATGTTCTAAGTTATTTAAGGTTTTCTTTTTGCTTTAAATATTTTAAAGAGTTTGAAATGTTAATGTGGGAGTTCAATATTTGCTGGCTGATATTTTTCAGATAATTGAAAACATCTGATTTTATAATAGAAGACAAAAAGTAAAATAATTCACGATGCCCAGTTTTGCTGGAATGAACCAAGGGCCCTGCAGTGCCCTTGGCAGGGGGATAGGGAGGTGGAGGAGGAATCTTAAATTCACCTACATGTTCATGTTCATGAGATGACTACAGGCTACACATGGTACCCATCTATTCAGAAGGCTTTAGGGCAGGCACATAGCTTGCCAAGAGGCTAGCATCAGGTATTCCTCTTGAATAGATGTCCTTGCAGCAGTTAAAGGAAGTGTAAGAGGTGGCAGGTGCAAGGAGATGAGGTCTACCTTGGTCACCTTGGGAACTGGCCTGGCTTAAAAGCCCTAACGCTTGACAGGAACCAAAATCTCTTATAACAATTGAATAGGCTTAGCTTTCAGGTACCCACAAGGGACATGTAGTATAAGAGTCACCACAGTTAGCAAAACCCAAAGCATGGCATCCGCACTGGATGTTTATAGTTCATGGTAGACCAGTTAGGTATCGTTTTTAGTATAAGCCTTGTTGTCTAACATTGTTGACACTCTGAGGTTTATCAGGTTACCTGGGGAACAGAGCTAGAGAGTTTATCCCAAGGTCAGATTCTCATGCATTAGGGGAAAGGGTTTTGCTAACCCTTTTACCCACAGGCACAAAGCAAAATCCCTGCTCCTAAAGAGTGTACAATATACTTGTGCAGATAATATACATACCTGGAGTTCCTGGAAATAATTGTACAACCTGAAACCTGGTCTCAGACATGACAATTGCAGTATGTAATGCTTGATTGGATCCTGGATTGGAGGGAAAAAGAAAACCGTTATAAAGGACATTTTTTGGGAGATAACTGGTGTGCTTTGAATGTAATAGGCTATAATAAGATAATGGGAGCTGTCATACCTTACTTAGATTTGACAGTGTATCTTTTCTATAGAAGTGGACTTGGGAATTGGATCTTTGAAAATTTAAATTAAATATATTAGAAAGTAGCCAGTCAGTTGGGATGATTAATGAAAAGGACTTTAGCTCTGTTTAGGTAGGTGCTTCTTTGGAAGCTCAGTTGAAGAACCTTGTTTCAGAGAAACCGGAATTACTTGAGCCATTTTTGTACAGCTCGAAGTTAGATTTAAGTAGCTGGCATTCATTTTAACAGTAGCAACATAAGTGGTAGGAGACTGGTTAAGAGAAGCTTTGCTTGTCCACAGAGCCTTAGCCTGTAGGGTGCTGGTATTTCCTGATGAAGACAGTTTGGTGTGAAGCCAGTGGACGTGTGTCCTGCGTGTCTTCAGGGTTCTGCAGGGCAGGCCCAGCTCTCTGCTGTATCTCCTCAGCATCTACTCTAGGTTTTGGGGACCTGCTCCCTGTTTCATCCTTTACCACTTTACTGGCTAAGCTGTGCCTTGCAGAGAGGTGTTAAAATCTCTTATTTGCTGATGGGGGCGACCTTTTATTTTCTTCATTTTCCTAGGTTTTATTCCTTTACCATCATTTTAATGGATCTCTGATGGGAGAGAAGAAAAGCCCTGTGATCAGTCTTCATGTTCTTAGTTTGGCAGAAAATTTTTTAAAACTGATCATTTGAACTGCCTGAGAAATGCTATATGTCTTTTATCTATTTTATATGTTTTTTTTCCCCCTTCTTAAGATTCTCTTAGGAAAACAGATTTCTGTGGGTAGGTGTTGGACAGCCCCATCTCTGATATGTGAGGAGAAACCCAGGTCAGAATGTTTGAGGGATGGGAAAGAGAGTTGAAGAGAAAAGTCAGGCTATTGAAATTTCTTCCTACTTTTTCAAAAACTTCTTCAGAGATGCTATAGTTGCCTTACTTAGTAATTGCTTTTTTTCGTCCTAGGATAATAGCCAGAGTTCTGGAGGACAACAAACTGCCTGGTGCCATTTGTTCCTTGACTTGTGGTGGAGCAGACATTGGGTAGGTTAATAGGTCTAAAGTATCTTTCGGTTGAAGGACCTCAGTTGATGAACTAGAGTCATCTTTCCTAGAATAATGAAACCCAATACAGCTGAGGAGACGAGAATGTTCTTTAGAGTGATTATTATCATGGACCTAATTGGGTTCTTGCTTTATTAATGCATAGCCTCTACTGGAGAATGAGCAGGCATTGTCTTTTTTATTGCCCAGTGCTACTATTTGTAAGGTGTTTATATCCTAAAATAATAAACTGCTGTAATGATGCGAAGTCCATAACTTCCTGATACTTGATTTATAAAGGTGTTTTCTTTCAAACCAAAGCTGTGAAGTTATAGTCTGGTTTCTCACTCCCTTCTGAGAACCTTGTCTATTGTCTGTGTTCTTCACCTGACCAGAAATGGGAACCCTGAGAACACAGCCTCTCTTTAAAGTGGAACTGACCACAACTCTCTGAACCATAATGGAAACTGAGGTTGCTTTTACCAGCTTATCATAGGAGTTGAATCTTGTAACCCATACCGGGGTGGTTAAAACGTTAGTCCTTCTTCGGCATTTTCACCATTTTTCTGCACTTACTGGGCAAGTTCAGAAAGGTGCAATGATAAGTCACTTCTTTTTTCATATAAATGAGAAAATACTGGAAAATAGAACTCCCATGTAAACAGCGTATAGTGAAGTATTACCCAAATGTCCTTTGAAACATTAAGTATTCTATCCTTTGATCTACTCTGTTCTTACACTCTGGACATCCAGTCCTTTGTGTTAGACTTGGAATAGCTCAAATAATTATAGTAGTGGTACACAGGAGTGCAGTAGGTAACAGCATCCATGCTCATGTTTGCTGGGCTTAGCCTGGGGAAGCCTACCTGGGTCATTTCGTCAAGCTGTTCCAGCCCTGCACTAGATCAATACTGTGACTGCACTGCTTGGTTCACACTGAGCGTTTTGAAGCACTGAACTATAAACAAAGAGGTTCAACCTAGTAGTGTCTGTTCAGCTTTCCTTAGAAGCAACTAGAAATCCTAGCACAGCCTTTATAAGTCAACTATTATAAGAGGTACTGTTGGATGTTCCCTATGGTCATCCTCAAAGGAATTATTCATTAGATTAAGAGTCTGCAAAATAACTGGAATGCTCATGCTGCGTGGATATACCGGTAATGCTAAGATCATACTGCCCAGACACGCACTCAGTACAGGAAGGACTTTCTTCCTTAACTTCCTCCTGGCTAATGTTGAGGTTACCTTGTTATGATGTATGACTCTACTTGTCAGCAGTCCATTTGGTTTTCATAAAGACTTTCCTTTGCTCCCCTGAGGCAGTTTTCCTTGTAGCTTTGACTAACTGTTTAAGGGCCATGTCAGTGTTTTCCTGCTGGGTACCACTAGGTGCTGCCCTTGCTTGGGTTTACCTACTTGATGACTGTGCCTTTTCCCCTGCAGAACAGCAATGGCCAAAGATGAGCAGGTGAACCTGCTGTCCTTCACTGGGAGCACTCAGGTGGGAAAACAGGTGGCCCTTATGGTTCAGGAGAGGTTTGGTAAGTGTTGGCTTTCTAATGAGGCTTTTAATTCCCTCAAAAGTATGAATGTAGAATCTAAAAGTTGGGGTTTTTTTCTAGACCTTTTCCATGGAGAAAGCAACCATGTTTTGAATGTCCAAGTAAAAGAAATGGGGACAGCTATTAGTTCCCTATTAATATTAGGGAACTCCCAAATTTTAATAGCATAAGTTGGAAAAGGATGACATTATCCCTCCAAATGACTATAGTAGAATCATATCAAATATATTTATCAAATTTAACCAGACCTGTTTGCAAATTAAAAAGCACAATTTAAACAGGACCAGTAAGTACAGGACCTAGACTAAGTATGAAATAGAAGACTTAAATCTGTTTTTCTCTCATTTGTGTTTCATGTCTGTATGACTGAAAGGGGTTGTATAGACATAGCTTTGTATGCCTTACTTTATGGCTTGTTTAAGAAGTTTCAAGGATAATCTTGACTGGCTGCTGACAGAAGGGTCAGCAGTTCGAGCCCACCAGCAGCTCTGTGGAAAAAGACGTGACAGTCTGCTTCTGTAAAGATTACAGCCTTGGAAACCCTATTGGGCAGTTCTACTCTGTCCTGCAGGTCACTATGAGTTGGAATTCACTTGACGGCAATAGGTTTTTTTTTTTTTTTTTTTAAATGCTGAATTTAGACTCTATCCACAGCATAAAATGAGACTTGACTAGTTCATCTGCAAGCTGTTTTGCTATGTAGGCTTTGCTTTTAAAAAGCAAGCTTACAAGAAACTGTTAGAGCTAATAAACAGGGTCAGTAAGATTATAGGATACAGGATCAAGATATAAAAGTTAATTGTATTTCTGTATGCTAACAATGAACAATCTGAAAATGAAATTTAGAAAACAATTCCATTTACAGTAGCATCAAAAATAATACAATACTTTGGAATAAATTGCACAAAAGAAGTGCAAGTCTTTTACTTAGAGACTACAAAAAACATCATTGAAATAAATTAGAAGAAGACTTAATTGAAATATATCCTATTTTCATTTTTTGGGAAATTTAATATTAAGATATCAGTACTCCCACAAATAATCTACAGATTCAGCACAAACCGTCAAAATCCTGGCTGCCTTTTTTTGCAGAAATTGACAAGCAGATTCTAAAATTCATATGAAATTGCGGGGGACTCAGAATAGTGAAACTTTGTCTCATATACTTTGGGCATGTTATCAGGAGGGACTAGTCGCTGGAGAAGGACATCATGCTTGGTAAAGAAGAGGTTCAATGAAGGAGAGGAAGACCCTCAATGAGGTGTGTTGACACAGTGGCTACAATGATGGGCTCAAGCATAGCAACAACTGTGAGGATGCTGTAGGACCCAGCAGTGCTTCATTCTATTGTACATAGGGTTGCTATGTGTTGGAACTTGCTTGACGGCACCTAACAACAACAGATAGTCAAAATAATCTTGAAAAAGAACAAAGTTGGAGGCCTCAGACTTCCTGAGTTTAAAACTTGTTAGAAAACTACAGTAATCAAGACTGTGATACTGGCATAAGGATAGGAATACAAACCAATGGGATACAATTAATAGTCCAGAAAGAAACTCTTACGTCTATGGTTGATTTTTGACAAGGACGCCAAGCTGTTTCAATAGGGAAAGAAAAGTCTTCCAACAAATGGTGCTTGGGAAAACTGGATAGCCGTGTACATAAGCATGAAGTTGGATCTCTACCTCACACCATAAATGAAAATTAAGTCAAAATGGATCAATACCTAAATGTAAGTGCTAAAACTATGATATAAAACTTAGAAGATGTCTTAGGCTGGGTTCTTTAGAGAAGCAAAACCGGTAAAGCATATAAATATAGACAGAGATTTATATCAAGGAAACAGCTTATGCGATTGTAGAGGCTAGAACGTCCCAAGTCCATGGATCAGGGTAGAGGCCTCTCCCAATTCACACAGCCACAGGAGCTGGCGAGCCCAAGATCGGCAGGTCAGAGAGCAAGGCTCCTGCTCACAGGCTGTGAAGGTTGACAAATTCCAAGATCAGCAAGCAAGACCGCAAGGTTTCTCCTGATTCACGTAGCTGCAGGGGCTGGCAAACCCAAGATTGGCAGGTCAGAGAGCAGGGCTCCGGAGACTCACAGGCTGTGAAGATCGACAAATCCCAGGTTCGGCAGATAGGCTGACAGCTCAAGTCCCAAGAAACGGAGGTGAGACAACAGGAGGCAGCCGCAGGATCCAGAGTGAGCAAAAAGCCAGAACGTCTGCTTATATTCAGGTACGGGCCACACCCCCAAGGAGACACCCTTTTATCTGATTGGCTACTCACAGCATATTCAATCATGGGAATGATCACATATAAACACTGAGAATCATGGCCCAGCCAAGTTGACACACAGTCTTAACCATTACAGAAGAATACATAGGAGTAAATCTTTGTGACCATGGGTTAGGCAATGGTTTTTCAGATAAGAGACAAAAAGCATAAGAAAAAATAGAAAAATTGGACTTCATCAAAATTAAAAACGTTTGTGTTTAAATGACACCATCAAAAAAGTGAAAAGACAGCCTACGGAATGGGAGAAGATATTTGCAAGGCTCTAATATCCAGAATATATAAAGAACTCTTAAATGTAACAATAAAAAGACAACTCAATTAAAACATAGACAAAAGACTTGAATAGAACACTTTTCCAAAGAAGATATACAAACGGCTGGCTAATAATCACATGAAGAGATGGTCAGCATCATTAGTTCCACTTCTTACATTAGCAGATTTCATCTTCATATCCTTCCCCCTTCCCTTCATAGTCAAAGCAGTAGTTTGTAAGTGTAGTTGATACCATAAATAGGATTATAGATTTTTAAAATGTGTTTGCCTATCTTGAGTTATAGGTGTTTTTTTTGTAGGGGGTTGGTGGTTAGGAGTCAAGTTAGGAAGCAACTGATGGGTAATTGGAAGGATGTAAAAATGAAGGGCTCTTCTCTTTTGCCAAATCTCACTTGCAGCCAGGCAGGAGAAACTGACATTAAGCATAGAATTTTCTGCTACTTTGCTTTTAATCTTAGCATCATGCTCTACTATACTGAGCAAGCTGTCATTGAATCAACTATTGCAGCAGTGACGAGAGCTGATGTAACACTCAGTGACTTTCTGTAATAACATAACATAATATTTCTGTAAATATTTGTTAATATTCCTGTAGGGTATTTACTGTTTCAGAGTGGTGGAAGTGAGAACATACTCTCCTGTCATCACGTACTCTCCTGATATCACAACTAAATAAAAGTTATTATATACAAGGTGATTTTAAAATACATTTTAGGGGGAAAAATGAGGCCAAGTCTCAAATCTTTATGCTGGGGAGAGAAGGTAAGAATGACACTTACAGTCTGCTGTATAACTTTTGTGGAATGAAGGTTGGCAATAACGTATCAAGAGCCCTAATCATATCCTTTGACCCTAACCTAAATAGATAATCAGCAATCAGTGTATTTAGCAGTAGAGAAATTGTTAAATAAAATTTGATACATCATCAGTACCAAATAATTGTGAATTTTTTAACAACTTCGAATAATGTAGGGAAATGGTGTGAGATATTAATCAGGAAAAACAACAAATAAAATTAATTGGATGGTATGATTGCAACTAAGTATAAATGTACAGGAAAAACGATGGAAGGTACTAACCAACGTGAGCAGGGATTTTATGATGGCATTATGGGTCATAGGTTTTTTCCTGCTTGGTACTTTTAGCTTTAATTATTATTTTTAAATTTTCTACAATGAGCACAAAAATTTTTAGCAACTGTTTATTTGGATATAATTTCAAACTTAAAAAGTTACAAGAATAACACTAGGAATTCCTGTGTACTCTGTACCAAGATTCACCAATTGTTTGCATTTTGCCCCATTTGCTTTATCATTATTTCTCTCACTTCAGTAATGCAAACATGCGCACGCATGCACACACACACATACACATATTATGATCGCATATTATTTTTGAACCATTTAGAATAAATTGGAGACATTGTGCCATTTACCATCGAATATTTTAGAGTTTATTACCTAAGAACAAGGACATTCTTAAAATCAGGAAATTTAATGTTAATGGAATACTCATGCTACTTTTTAAATTATAAAATAAAATAAAAAGATATTTGGGATAGGCTATATTCTGAGGAGGAGGCTGGTCACTCAGTGGTTAAAGCATTTGGCTGCTAACGAAAATGTTGGTGAGTTGAACCCACCAGCCGATCCACGGGAAGTCTGCTTCCCATAAAGATTACAGTCTTGGAAACTGTATGGGGCAGTTCTACTCTGTCCTGTAGGGTTGCTGTGAGTAGGAATTGACTTGATGGTGGTGGGGTTTTTTTTTTGTTATATTCTCAGGCCATCTAGCAGTGAGCATAAAACACTGTCAAAAAAACCCAAACCCGTTGTCGTCGAGTCGATTCCAGTTTATAGTGACCCTACAGGACAGAGTAGAACCACCGCATAGGATTTTTAAGGAGCGGCTGGTGGATTGAACTGCCGACCTTTTGGTTAGTGGGTGAGCTCTTAACCACTGCACCACCAGGGCTCCATAAAATACTGCAGTAGGCATTAATTTGTTTTTATTTTTTTAAGGGAGAAGTTTGTTGGAACTGGGAGGAAACAATGCCATAATTGGTAAGGCTGCCTTTTATTTGTTTTGTTTTCCATTCACAATACCCTCAATAGCCATCATGCATATATAGGACTTGTCAAGGAACTCATCCTTTTACTCAATAAGACCTTCTATGTTGTCTGTGAAACTTAATTCCTGTTTCAGAATTTTACCTGGGAGAGAGGACACAAGCTTGGTTGGAAGGCGTTGATAACTAGGAAAGAAACATGTCTGGCACATGGCGCGTTACCCTGGGCCTAGAGCCCTGCAAATGGGGCCTCCATTGTGGTGTGGCATTGCATCTTTGTTGCTTTTCTTCTGCGTTTCTGAAAACTGGCCACGTGCTTCTTTAGAATAAGCAACTCTTATGTGACTTGCTAAATTCTTTAGATTTCAAAAACATTAATTTATCTCTGTTGGAATCTTCATTGATTTTATATTGGGAAGGAAAACTTCCTGAAAGCATTAAAAAGATCACTTATCTATATGTTTGAAGATTACTTAATTATGTTTTTCAATGATTTGAATTTGACACAAAAGAAAATAGTCTACCAGCTTAACTTCTGGATAATGGAATGAAAATTAGTGTGTTAAGACTTAATAGAAGCATGGATTTTGTAATAAAAAGAAATTTCTGTATTGCCATCATCATCTTTAAATGCCCATATATATAGTGGGCACTAAGGGTTTAAAAAATATATGGTGAAAGGTTTATTCTAGATGAACTTCTAATCTAGTTAGAGTTCATTTAAAAATGCAGGTAACATTTTGTGAGCACTAGGAATTTGCCAGGTATAGGGTCGCTATGAGTCAGAATCGACTCGACAGCCAACGGGTTTGGTTTTTTGGTTTGTGCTAAGCTGAAGGAGCCCTAGTGACACAGTGGTTAAGCACTTGGCTGCTTACCGAAAGGTCAGCGGTTTGAGCCTACCAGCCGTTCCGCAGGAGAAAGATGTGGCAGTCTGCTTCTGTAAAGATTACAACCTTGGAAACTCTATGGGGCAGTTCTACTCTCTCCTAAAGGGTTGCTATGAGTCGAAATCTACTCAACTGCAACGGGTTTGATTTTTTTGGTTTTGGTGCTAAGCTGTTTTAGATGTATTATTTTACTTAATCGTCACAGTAATCTCATGAGATAGATATCATTATTAATCTCATTTGATTGTAAGACTCTGAGGCTTAAAGAGATTATGTGCCTGAGGTGACAGGCTACCAGGTGTATCCACCAGTCAGACTCCAGACCACAGCCCTTTCCTAAACTCCTTACTACCAGCCATTAGTACCTAGGTATTATTACTCCATTTTACAAATGAGGAGTCTGAGGCATACAAAGTTGAAATAACACAATTAAAAAGGGGTGGAGCTGGATAAGAACTGTGGTCTTTATGATACCCCAGACCACCTTCTTCACCATCATGCTAGTCTGAAAACAATGTTGAGTTGGAGAGGGGAAAAATTGAAGATCTAAGAGGGAATTATGGCTATAAACTTCTAGAAGGCATAAAAGAGGGAAACAATTACAAGTAATATAAATGGAACAGTTGACCTTGTAAATACTACACTAAAGTTTTCTTCTGAGGGCAGAAGAGGAGGAAGGAATAGACACAAATAAAGAGGAATTAGGAAGTGATGTCACACTGGTCTCTTGAGAGGAGTAGAGGAAGCGTGAAGGGTCCTCGTGTGTGATCACGTTGAGATTTTTCATGAAGTGAGGTCATCTGGTGCAGGAGTAGAGAGCTCGAGGTGTTTCAGAGATCTGGAAAGGCTGTAGAGTGGTAACAAGAGGCATTAGGGGAACCTACTGAGGACAGTGAAGGTGTAGATATTGCTAGAGAACATGGTCTGATGGTGGAGATAATCAGAAGGGTTACATTGCTCTCCCTAATTGGCTGTGGGCCCAGGGAGACTGGCATCAAAATAGGCCATGGGGTGAAGAGGTAAATAAGTAAAGCTGACAAAGAGGATCATGGTCTTAGAGAAGATTCCTGGATATGGATACAGAGGTGGCTCAGTCAGCGTCAGAAACTGGGAGAGATGAAAAATGAAGAAGTCCTAGGAGTGAGAGCCCCAGGGTACAACTTTACTTGAGTAAAGACCATAGAGCTCATTGCTCTATTCTCTATTCTCGTAGAATCTTCCCTGAAAGAAAAGCTTACCTTTTTTCCTAATGAATATATGTGTCTGTGTAATGTGAACATGCTTATTTTTTCAGGGATAGTTTTGGCGTTTTTACTACACTTTCTGAAAGTATCATTTTATTCTAGTTAGCAAATACTTTGTCTGCCTACTTGGCCACACTCATGGGTGTGTGTTTGTGCTTCTCTAAGCTTTTGAGGACGCGGACCTCAACTTAGTCATTCCATCAGCTTTCTTTGCGGCCGTGGGGACAGCTGGCCAGAGGTGTACAACTACGAGGCGACTGGTGAGTATGTCTGCATAGGCAAATGACTTGTCCTGCTCTTTAAACACCACTTTTTAATGAATTCTGCTATTAGGGAGGTGGTGTAGAAGTACTGCTAGAAAAATGTCTTCTCTCGATGTGGTGGGCAAATATGTGGCCCTAGTATTCTGTGCTCATTAGCCAGGGATTCTGCCTACTCCCCTTTCTCATCCATACTGAAAGTGTTCTTACTGCTAAGTGATTAGAGTTGGACTGGAAGATGAGATCTATTTTCATTCCTGTTCCAGGAACAATATGGAGAAAGTCCAAAGTCATGTAGAGAACAAAACACACTTAAGATTTAAAAAATTACAAAATCGATTAGCTAAAAGGTAGACAGCCTAGGCCTTCTTATAAAAATATTTTAAAGATTTTAATTTTTGGCATGCTCAGTCTTAAGATTTGACATGGTTTATTGAAAAGCAAATAACTCTGTGTGTGTGTGTGCTGTTTATAAATACATAATCTGTACAGTATACCTCTGTATGTACCTGTAACCCATTGCCATCGAGTAGATTCTGACTCATAGCAACCCTACAGGATAGAGTAAAACTGCCCCCATAAGGTTTCCAAGGCTGTAAATCATTAAGGAAGCAGACTGCCACATCTTTCTCCTGCGGAGCAGCTGGAGGATTCCAGCCGCCAATGTTTTGGTTAGCAACCGAGTGCTTAACTGCTGTGCCACTAGGACTCCTTATCTATCTACAGAGCAAATTAATTTTAAGTGTATTTAAGGAGATTTAGTGTACAGTGTTTGGGAAGTTTAATCTGCACCCTTAGATTTGAGCTGGATTTCAGTTTTGTGTAGAATACACTCTTGATTTTCACGACTCTTTTATAGTCTGGAAAATTGTGTGTACTACAACCAAGGAAGTTTTGACTAGATACAGAATTTGCCTGTATTTGCTGTTTTTTATTACTGAAGTTGGTGCAGTGGTTAAGTGCTCGTCTGCTAACTGAAAGGTCAGTGGTGTGAGCCCACCAGCTGCTCTGTGAGAGAAAGTTGTGGCAGTTTGCCTCCGTAAAGATTTACAGCCTTGGAAATCCTATGGGGAAGTTCTGCTCTGTCCTGTAAGGTCACTATGAATTGAATCCACTCGATGGCGGTGGGTTTCATTTTTGGTTTTAATTAAAAACAAAGAAACAGTTCAAAGTTAATTTACAAAGGATTTGGCTTTAGGTTTTGACTCGCCAACAGTGAGTATGAACAAATTCCTTTTGAATTAGGTTGACATAATCTAAATTAATTGGAATAAGATAAAAGACATGAATAATTCAATCTTTACCTTTCCTGTTTCATTTTTATTTTTTCTGTTTTACAGCAAATGAAAGTCTTTTGACATTACTCAGTTCTCAAAAAATCTAAGGTGGTATTCATAAAGAACTTTAAATTTATTAAATTTCTTCACCTTAAACATTTATTCCATTAAAGCTAAGAAGGAAACAGAAAACCCATTGCTGTTGAGTTGATTCCGACTCATAATGACCCTATAGGACAGAGTAGAATTGCCCCCATAGGGTTTCCAAGTCTGTAATCTTTACGGAAACAGATTGCCACATTTTTCTCCCGTGAAGCCGTTGGTAGGTTCCAACTGCTGACCTTTTGGTTAAAAGCCAAGCGCTTTAATCACTGCGTCACCAGGGCTCCCTGAAGGAAATAGCGATACTGCAAAAGACTGTACCCTTAAGCACATGGTAAAACACGAAATGACATGAAAGCCAAGCATTTCCCTATTTCGCCAACATTCATTTTTCCTTTGTATCTTGGAGCAAATATACATAGTCATGCTTTATTTTTTGATGTTGAATATAAGCGGATACTATTAGTTTTTGCCCAATCTAATTTCCATAGGGACAATTAGTGGTATGTAGGAAAACACAAATTCTGGTAATATGGACTTCTCCATGATTAGTTCTTATGATATCAATTCATTTGTCCCACGGAGACTAATCCAGAGATGGGATGGTTTGGTACATATTCATCTCCACTTTTGGGCACATAATATGGAGCTCCCATCCTACCCAGAGTGAGCCCAAGGGTCACCCTCGCATGAGTAAGGCTATTTTGGAGGCCCGCTTGTCCAGAGTCTAAGTGCATGTGGTTACACAGCAGAGGTAGCTTGGCCAAACATTGTGGTATTTGTTCACTGCAACTCCTACAGTTATATTATGGAAGGTTCTCTGATAATTAAGAAGTCAAATGCTGTAGAACAAAACCAGGAATAATTGATTGTGAAGCTTGGCCAAGTAGGTCCTTAGAAACATGATAAAAATATGGCTTATGATTTTATTCTAACACCTACCTAGAGAAAATTATTATCTTCGTGATAGTTAAAATTGTATAATTAGAAAACAAACATGCTTCTGTTTGTTTATGTTTTCAGAGAATATTTGAAAGAACTATTAAGAACTGTTAACCAGAACTATTAAGAAAAATTGTATGTTGCTAAAAAAATTTTTACATTTATTTTACTATTCCCATGAATGTTTCTTTTCTTACTTAGTTTTTACATGAAAGCATTTATGATGAAGTTGTAAATAAACTTAAAAAGGCGTATGAGCAGATCCGTGTTGGGAACCCATGGGATTGTGAGTATCTGGTTCAGTTTTCAAAGATTTTCCCTTTTGACAGCTGATGTTGTCAATGTTTCTCATTTTAATTGGGCATTGGGGGTGACAAATCTCATGCTACTAGGATAGGAGCTTGAGTACTTGATGTGAGCTGGTGGGTGGAACTAGGCTGTCTTATCTACAAGCTGTTATTTAGATGGGCTGAGATTTGACTGGTTTTTCTACCTTCCCTACTATTACCCCGTTTAAACCACTACCATGAGAGGCTGCAGGAGTCCCCTAACTGACTTTTTTGCTTCCACTTTTACCTTCCATAGTAACCAGAGTGCTATTTAAAGATGTAACTAGATAATTCACTCTCTTGCTTAAAACACATCAATGACCTCTTGTTGCTCTGAGACTAAAACCTAGATTTCTTCCAGTTCATTTTTCAGCAGGCTGACAGTCTTTCGTGATCTGACCTCAGCCTCCTTCTGCACCTACCTTCTGCCCACCTTGTGTACCATTTGCCCCTTGCTCCCTAAGCGCCAGCTTTGACCTTCTGTCAGTGCTGCACGACTCCCAGGCCTTCCTGCTGCTCCCTCTTGTGGGGAATGCTTCTTACCCAGCTCTTCCCACCACCGGCTCTCTGCAAAAATGCCACCTCCTCACAGACACCTACCTAAATCTTTCTTCTTCCTCTGTCGTTGTGGTCACCTTTAATGCTCTAGTTCCCGGCAGCTGTAACACGGGGCAACATCCCACTCTCCCCTTTGAATTGCACACCAACCACTGAGACTGTGAAGTCCTTGAGAATGATCACACTGGTCATGAATAAACTGACCCTATATTTTTAATATAATGCCCCGATTAGTTGATAGCCATTCCTCTAAACCAAGGTGGCAAACAGGTTTGAACCACCACTTGTATCTGTAAGTAAAGTTTATTGGAACACAGTCATGCCCATTCATTACTGCATATTGTCTGTGACTGCTTTGGAGATACAATGGCAGAACTGAGTAGTTGTGGCAGAGACCACAGATGTCACACAAAGCCTAAAATACTTACTCCCTGATCTGTTAGAGAAAAAGCGTGCTGACTCCTAATCTGAACTGAGAGGATATCTGAAGGGATCAGTCTGTTCAGTGGAAAAGCTGCTACAATAATAAAATGATGCTATGTAGGGCAAAATGAAGAGCATTCCTTTTCTCTCTCCAGCTGATGTTCTCTATGGGCCACTCCACACAAAACAGGCGGTGAACATGTTCCTTGGGGCAGTGGAAGAAGCAAAGAAAGAGGGTGGCACAGTGGTCTGTGGTGGCAAGGTAATGAAAACTGTCTGAGATCAGTAGTCACAGCTTTTTTACTTCTCTCTCCTTAGGCACAAACAGAGATTTCCCATCCTTCTTCTCCCCAGCCCTCTTATAAGGGTGAAATATGTGTTTTAAAGAATGACACCATAAATGCATGGAATATTTCTGGAAGGACACACAAGGACATTGGTTGCCTTTGAATTAAGTCCTTAGAAATTTGGATGGACAGGAGACCTTTTCATGATATAGCAGACGACTTTGTATTCAGAGCAATTATAATCCATATTTATTGGTTATTTGAAAGTCAGTTATTGTAGGGAATCAAAAAAATACATACCATAAGCATTTTAGTTTGACATGTATAATTACATTGACATAGGGCCTAAGTGTTTGCTTCATGTATGATTGGAATTTTTTTTTAATCCTTGCATAAGCTGTACATATAATTTATTATCTCCAATTTATAATTGCACTTCACTTTCTTTAAAATTCATTAAGAACTGAGTCGCTTGCAAAGCAATCTGAGAGCAAAATCCTTCTGGGCTTTTACTATTTCTTACCTCTCCCCACTCTTCTACTGTTGATACACCCACGTCTAATTGGACAGCTTGGACAGCTGTGTGTGTGTATTTGTGTTTGTTTTTTTTTTTTTTTTTTGTATTGAGTTTTTCCAAAGCAATCAGCTTTGTCTTTGTAGAAGTGCTCTGTCTTTTTTTGTTTGTGTAATATTTATTTAAGCGACATACTGCAGTATGGCATTACAGTAACAAATACAGCTGGCAGACAGAGGATTGGGAGTAAA